ATTCCTTTCCTTTTCATCAATCATACCAAACGCCCCCATAATGGTTTTAATTTTCACCTCTTGATAAATCAAACAAAAAGTAATTAGGAGATTTAGAGATGATGTGGGTGGTTATCATACATCAAGCATTATGCAATATATGATTTGATTGTCCCCAAGTCTTTTTGGTGTGGGATAAGTGTGTTCAAAATGCAAATTATTGGATTGATCTTCTGGTCGTCAATTTTTCTGTTATTTGTCTGTTACTGCCTACTGTATATATTATTATGGTGTAATATTGACGTATAACTTCCCTGAAAATACTGTTTGCCTACGTTTCAGGTATAGAAATTGAAGAGAGCATCATACCCCTCATGAGCCCATCTCTGAGAAAATTAGGAGATGGTGTTTTGTTAATCGCGTCTCGAAGAACAGAGAGGATCAGGCATATCTGAGGGAACCAAGCTTCGTAAAAAAGATGATTTGCGCAGGAGTTGTGTACATTAAAGCCGATAATCAGCTTACAACAATGGCTCAATTGTTTATACCAATAGACGTTTCCAAAGCTAAAAGTGACTCAGTGTCCATGGAATTTGCTGTTGGTTTGTACCTCATTATTTTGTTGGTGATTATTGTCGAAAACATTGATCCAAGATGAGAAAGGCTTTCAACAACTTAGGCTGTGTTCGTCCTCACTAACAACAGGCACTTCATACTAACATTTAGGTCGAAAATTTAGATTGGATACAAAGTACTATAGAAATAATTGAAAAGCCTAATTTATCATTTTTCTTTTAGAACATTTAATAAATTGTAACGTCAATGTAATTGGTCAATAGCTACGTTTATTTGCTCTTGTTATAAATAAAATAAATAGAAAAAAATTGTCATTTACTCACCGTTTTTACATCGCACTTTTTCTTTCTTTTTTTTTTTTTTTTTTTTTTTTTTTGCTCACGAGGGGGTAGGTCCCTTTTACATTGCACTTGCTAACCTTAAATTAAAATTTGGTAATGCTAATTTAGCCATTTAGGTCTACCTTGCAATGACAAATTGACAATTGACATCATAATAGAATTTAATGTTTACTTTATTATATGAAGAGGTGTAAATAAATTCTAATAAATGTTGATGTTATATTAGTGTTTATGTATAAGTTGTGTAAAACCTTGAAAAAAATATGAAATATTTCTAATTTTGTATTCATAATAATTATATGTAAGAAAATCTCTTTTCATAACTATGTCTTACTATGAATTTTATAAGGTTTTTCATGTATATAGAATTTTTTTTTATTTATTTATTTTTTGTATAAGATGGTCAAGTCGAGTTTGTTGTAAATAAGTGTCACATTGTTAAATCTCATACAATGGACAGATGTCAGATAATAACATGTTCGTAAATTTTTTTTTTTTTTTTTTTTTTTTTGACGAGCAAATGTATTCATTAAATCAGAGTTTACAACCTACAGAACAAGAACTTAAACTTAAACTATGGCTTTTAACACTAAAGTCGTTACAACAACTTTTGAGATTAAAGACGAAAATAAACTTGAATTAGTCGGATAAGTCGCAGATAAGGGACTCCTTACAAACCAAGGAGCAAAAACATACTACATTTCATGAAGAGAGCAACGGAGGGGATCGAAACTGTTTGACCATGGCTAGCACTTCCTTACCTGGCGGGATCAACTCATCACCAAGTAAGGTCATCAAACGAGTCACTTGAACTAGTGACCTTCTAATCAATAGCTTTCCTTGTTGGCAAGAAAGCTTTGACAACGTTGAGTCTCGAGAAACCCCAAAACAAAGTTTGGGGGCCTGCTTCAGATAATAAGAATCAGGAGTAATGACCAAAAAAATCATTACATCCGAGGGAAGAGAAACCAAACCCATACCACTCCAACAACATACACACTTCACCTTAGCCAAGGCCAACTTCTTGTTCAAACCCCCAACAACCGCACCTGTAACCTCTCTTATCACAGTAAACACCCCATTGTCCTTAACAAAGTGGCTTAACTCCTACTGCACACAACCATCCAAAATACTATATCCAAAACAACTAAATAGCCCGAAAAACAAACAACGGGGGCTAAAACATACCATAACAAAAACTAAGGCAAGTAAACTCTGATAAATACTAAGAACAAACATACTTAAGAAATGGAACAAACTAGAGGAGAGCACCGTCCAACCCGACAACCCAAAACCACTTACACTAGGAACCTCGAAACCCTAGCCCTAACTTCACTGTTTCCGTCACTAACTACTCTTGACGGCGGCGTTAGACCTAGCCCTCCAGTGCAAGGACCCACGAAACCCTAACCCTAACTTTACCGTTTCCGTCACGATCAAAATTACCGATGACCTTTATGACGGCGGCGTTAGGCCTAGTCCTTAGGCCTTGTTTCACCGGCGGAGAGACCCTTTGAATAAACGCAAACCTTCCACACAAAGGTGGGCAACGGCGACGGAGGGGGACGATCTAAACACTCCCCTCATAACCTTCGAACCTTAGAAAAGGCTCTCACAAACACCTTCAAAAGGATTAAAATCCCCAAGAAGAAAGAGGATAACGGAGTGAGGAAACCTCCAAACCCAAGAAGGGAAAAGAAAATAAAGGGGAAGGAAAACAGAAACCAAGAGAAGAAGAAGTCAGAGGAGGGGGAAAGAGGTCGCGGAGGCCGCGGCGGCCGGAGCTCCGGCGGCTCTCTGAGTTTGGAACCACCTCAGAGAAGAACGCGGATTAAAGGAGACGAAAGCAGAGGATGCTCGTCTCTCGCTGGCGCCTGGCAAATTAAAAGTAGGGGGAAGGGAGGAACCTCGCCGGAGAAACGGCTGCGGCGCCGGATCTCCGGCGAGCACCTAGGTTTCCGGCAGAGGTGTTCTTTAGAGGAGGAGAGAGAACAGAGCGTTTTGTGAGGAGAGAGAATGAGTCAGTCATGATCGTAAAAATTGTAGTATGTATAATGACAAAACTAGCCTAGTATTAAGAATGTCACTAATTTTGGGGGTTCATAGCATGTCAAATTAAGGTCAAGAAGAACCGCAATTCCCAAATTGCAGCCAAAGTTTTAAGAATTCCCATTCTACCGTCCACGTAAGCACTGGTTAAAAAACCGGTTTTTTTTTTTCCGGTCCAGGGTAAACCGCTACTTCAAGTAGCGGTTTCTTTGCAATAAACCGCCACTTCAAGTAGCGGTTTCTTAGTTTAAAACCGCTACTTGAAGTAGCGGTTTGTTTACAAAAAACCGCTATTTAATGTAGCGGTTTATTTTGGAAAACCGCTACTTCAAGTAGCGGTTTACTTTAAAAACCGCTACTTGAAGTAGCGGTTTACCCTGGACTGGTTTTTTTTTCAAACTTGCATAATCACTCAAAAAAAAAACCTGCAAGTTGTGTACCTGTAAAACATGAGATATATAGCATATTTTCAACACAACCACCATAAATAACAAGTTTATGAAGATCTAAGGAAGTCGAAATTGCAAAGTCGAATATTTTTCAATTGATTAAATATAACAAAATCCAATTCTAAGCATTTACAAAAAAATTAGTTTAGTTCCAAAATATACACTTAGCTCGGGCGTTGCTTCTTCCCATGAGGTGACGATGAAGATGATGCAGCTGTCTCCTCTGGAATGTCATCCAGGCCAACTCCAACCCCAGACGTAGTGTTGCTACGCCGTCGGTTTCTCTGATACTGGCGATGCACTAGTGGAGGAGATGTCATGATAGTATGCTGAGAAGGAGTCGGTGGACGGAAGGCACGTGCTGAATGGCCTCCACGATGAGGTGGTGGTCTGATCGGCATAGTGTGCACAGTAGAAGATGAAGACGTGGACGGTCGAGGCTGCTGAATAAGGTGTGACTGCCCCACCCTAGACAAGGTTTGGCCACAAAATGATGTAAAACCCTGCATCGTCTGTATGGCAAATGGTATAGCCGTCTCTGGTGGCAAGTGGGAGATGGTCTCAGTAGCTCCCGATAGCTGGACGTGCAAATCAGCAAATGCATGTGCCTACATTTAAGTGTAGTTGTAATGTTAGTAAAATGAAATCAAAAACGTAAGAACTAGATTGAAATGAAGTGAAGTTCATACAAGCAGGAGGTCCGAGGTAGCTGGCTGGTAATGACTCGGGGGGCGCTCCTGCGAAGGTGGAGTAATGACCAGTCTCGTGATGCGACGGTACCAAGCCATGTACTCTGTCATGGCCGGGGAAGAAGTCCCAGTGAACGGGTATCCCTGGACGACTAATGCCTCTCGTCGACTCCACTCGTGTACATGGTCCGAATGCCGAATCTCCCAATTACGTTGTCCCCTTCGATCCTTCCTGTGTAGAGCAACGTCCGTGTCTACATCCTGTGGGATCGGCTGGTCTAACCCGAACTGACGAAGGACTCGGTCTGGGAGGTGGAACTCAACGACGTCAAAGCATATAAGAGGTGCCCGTGAACGCCAAATGTGCATGTCTGAGCGACAAATCTCCGGAAGTCGATCCATCACCGCCTCAGTATATGGCTGCCAAATCATCTAATTCCCAAAACAAGTATGTCAACATGTATATGACTAACATAATGGAAGAAATACAATGCACAAAAAAAAGAAACATCGATTGTACCTGGTCCTCGCGCTGATGGTCAAACGCATCTCTGTAGTATGGTAGTCCAGAAGCAGTATGCGCACACGATAGATGGACACGTAACCACCTGTAAAGACATGTTAATAATAATTCTTGAAAGATAGAATTGTAAGAACATGAACTTGAAGCAAACATTGTACCTGCACGCCAAAGGGTCAACACCTCGCTGATGCTGAGTCCCCAAAATGTCATCCTCATCCTCAGCCTCAGGGTCCTCCTGTGGCGGATCTCGAGGCCTCCTAATGTATGGTCGGCCAATAGTAATATGCTCCCACGACCACAACTGTAGTAGGATGAGCGGGCCTCCAATCTGTCTTGAATCTCGCTGACATCCTCGACATAGCTGCCGATACAAAAAACCAAGAGTCGCACTCCCCTAGCTGTAGGTCGAAGCTGTCCCCCAGTCTCGAAGGAACGGCAAGTAGTAGAGTGACACAGCATCGCCACTCTTGTCGGCGAACAGAATAGATCCCATGAGAGTGAGAATGTAAGCACGGCTATGGCGCTGAACTGTCAAGTCATCAGCTCCCTCTGGCATCTGTGAGAAGTGACGTCTGAGCCACGTCAACTTCAAAGTAGATCCCTCCAGAAACGGCTTACCGTTATCATCATGGCCAGGTCGAACTCCCAGCAACTCCTCAACTAGGTCATGCCATCCCTCAAATGGAGGTCCAATGACAGGAGGGCCGTGCACTCTCAGACCTAACAGGACGGAGACATCCTGTAAAGTAATGGTGGCCTCACCTACCACTAGGTGGAAAGTATGTGTCTCCTGCCTCCACCTCTCAACCAACGCCGTAAGAAGAGATCGATCAAGCAAAAACCCTCCTCCCAAAATCCTATGTACACCGTAAAACCCAGCAAGCCTAACGTACTCTAGTACTCCGCCATCTACCCTCCACTCACGTCCCACGCTGACCATATGCTCCCTAACTGAGAGAACTCTATCAGCTACGCCACTCCAAACATCGTGGCTCCTATGGGAAGTCTGCAAGCGTAGAACAGATGGATCAACTGGGCCTGGACGAATCACCGGCTCCATGGGACCTACACGATAACAAAAAATTGAATTAATGTTAAGCGTTCGAGAAAAAAACATAAATATTAAACAAGAATATATAATTAATCATGTTACCCAGATGATCCAAATCCACCAATAAGAGTAGGACATGTCTTCTTGTTATGCCCAGGTCGCCGACAAACACTGCATGCCTTCTTCACACGATTGGGACGCTCATCCATTTCATTTCGAATTCTAGTGGACCGTCGGCCTGGGCCTCTTTTCAAATCTGGGTTGGCAATAGTAGTAGGACCATTGTAAGCTAACCTGTGAGAGATTTATTTGGAGGAGTATTTGGTAGGTAATAGAGATGGGATGTAGATGGGCACTTAGAGAGTTTGGAGTGATCAATGGCTGAACAGACCACCTTCATTTAGAGTCACTTCAAGAAGAAACAGATTTGATGCTTGCTGATGGTGGGGGCTAGAATACGGATCTGATGGAGGCAAATTTCATTCCATTTGAGGCGGAGGAGATTTTAAATATGCCGATTTCTTTTGATGATATATACTTTTGGAGCTACAAAATTCTGGTTCATATTTTTGTAAAATTTGACTATCATTTCATTTCTTTTAATTGGAAAATGGAAGAAGGTAGTGTTGGTTCTTCAATGTCGTCTGATTTATGGAAGAAGATTTGGAAGCTAAAAGTTCCACCAAAGGTACGAGACTTTATTTGAAGACTTTCTAAAGTGGTTATTCCTACTAATAAAGGCTTGAATGTAATAATTGATAATATTTCTCCTCTCTATAGAAGATAGATGTGATTTTATTACATGTGGAAACGGAGTTACATGCTATATTGGGCTGTGATTTTATTACTAGTGCTTGGGATAACGTGGAGATTATGAACAACAACACAACCAAAACCGAAACTCAATAACAACAACAATAAACAAGAACACTAACAACAACACAACCAAAACCGAAACTCAATAACAACAACAATAAACAAGAACACTAACAACAACAACACAACCAAAACCGAAACTCAATAACAACAACAATAAACAAGAACACTAACAACAACAACACAACCACAACCAACAACAACAACACATACATACAATTCTGAAACTCAATAACAACAACAAACTCAATAACAACAACAAACCCAATAACTGAATACAAAAAATAATTAGGGCACTTACCACAAACAAGAAGATCAGCACGTTTCTTCTGAAATTAGCGAAGCCGACCACTAAAGTCGAACCCTCGGCGTCAACAGCGGCGGCCTTCGTTGCTGAGGAATGCTCCGGCGGCGTCGGTGGATTCCTTGGCTGCGCCGGCTTCCGTTGAAGGAGGTGTGATTTTGGTGGAAGGCGTGGATGGGATTTTGGTGAGAAGACGAAAATGAAAGAGGAAAGTGAAATCGGGAAATTATACCTGCTAGAAAACCGCTACTTGAAGTAGCGGTTTATTAAACAAAAACCGCTACTTGAAGTAGCGGTTTATTAAAAAGAAACCGCTACCTGAAGTAGCGGTTTATTAGTAAAAACCGCTACTTCAGGTAGCGGTTTTGCTGTAGACCGGATTTAAAATTTCTTCCCCCTGAACCGGTGACGTGGACGGTAGAATGGGAATTCTTAAAACTTTGGCTGCAATTTGGGAATTGCGGTTCTTCTTGACCTTAATTTGGGAAAGAGCTCAAGAATTGTCATAGTACTTGAGTAAATTCAAGTTGATTTTTCACTTTTTCTTAATTTGGGGGTCTCGTGTTTTAATTTTTTGGTATTTCTTGTAATAAAATACACATGCATGGTCCCATTTTTCACTTTTCCTTAATTTGCATATCTAAAGTAACCAAGTAAGAATTACGAAACGGAGGTAATATTAATCACCAAAACATATTTACATCAAATATACAAGCTGTTAACAGCCAAAAGAACAACGAAATCCAAAACAAATCAGCCTATATTGTTCCTAAGCATTGCCAACTAGCTGAAGCCCTCCTCCTTCCACTTGCAATTCTTCACATGAGATAATCACCAACAAATTTCCTTCTTAACTCTCTTACATAAATACTCTTTGAACCATACCGCCTGGTGCCAAAGAATCTATTTCCGAGCATACCACCTGGTGCCAAAGAGCCTTGTTTCCGAGCATACCGCCTAGTGCCAAAGAACAGCCAAAGCCATCTGTTTCCTAGCATCTCTTTTATGCTTCCTGTACCAAGTCTTCCAGCAGTAACCAATAGAAACATTTCCTGGATTATAAATGCCTATCCAGTCTCGAATATTAGTAGCATAACAATCCAGACATGAAAAGAAAAGGTGCAAGCAACACTCTCACTAATGCCAAACATGTGAAGTCTTTCTTGAATCTTCAGTTTGCCTAAAATAGCAAGCCATGATATAAAGGAGTGCTTAGGTGTACTATATTTATTCCATTGAACTTTCTCACCACCTTCAACCATTTGTAGCATTCTCTCAAAAAAAAAAAAAAAATAATACAAAAAAAAAAAAAACCCATTTGTAGCAAGCAGAAATAGAGTATTTCCTGCATGCCTGGGCTACACCACATGTTTTGAACAAAGCTTGATTGCAGCTCATCATTCATTTTACACAGATTCTTCCACCCCCAGGCAGTAGCTTCGGGATTGTGGTAGCTCCACCAATCAGCATCAAGGAGATAGACACTACGCACCCACTTCACCCAAAGAGTGTCACCCTTCATTGCAACCTGCCAGACCATTTTACAGGGTCTTGAGTTAGTTTGTGCATTCAGACTGTGGCAGTTTGTTGATTCCACACCTTTCTTTGTCCCAATTCCATCATAAATTACAGTTTACCCCTTTTGCACAAACCCCAGAGGCTTGATCCACGCCAGCCTTTCACATATGCGTAACAAGCTAATAAATAGAGGAAACAACACACAATGACACCCACCTGCACCACGACCACATGCATCAGTAAGGCACACATGCTTACGGACTAAGGAGATGGCCTCATATGGGACTTGCTATGCTAGGGCATCGAAAAACTGTCAGCATATAACAAGTCAAATGTGACAATATCAATCATGCAATTTTCTAAGCGTTGTCACTAATACCAAACGGACGAAGTACTTTTCTTTCAAAAACATCAAACTTTAGAATTTAGTTACGTGACTTTTAGGATAAGATAAAAATAAAAACCAAAAAAAAATTGGGTACCTTACGGTTTCATAATTTCCCTTAAGGTTCTCAAAGCTAACAAAAATTGATCCATTTTTATTTCTGAACTAACATTGTTAATTATTTTTATTTTATTTTATTTATTTACTTTTTGTTTGATTTTTGTGACAGCAGCTGATTTCAACAATCAATTAATCAATCAATCAAAGCCTTAATCCCATAAGTGGAGTCGGCTACAACAGTTGATTTCAACAAAAATCAAAAATTAAAACTAATTGAAAAGGCAGTTACACAAAGACGACATTGGTTTGCTAATTGGTGAGCTATATGAACTTGTTCCCTAACAACTTTCAGGATGTTCAGCATTCAAAGCGCATTCTTAAGCGTCAATTTTCCACTATTGTCCAGTGGAGTGCCAAATTACCATGTCTTTGTTGTTGAAGGAGACAGCGTGGTAGAATCAATGTAAATTAGGATTCTTGTGTGACTGCAACTCAAGCTCTTAGTGCCGAGATACAGGCTAGGGCGTCAAACTCTTCACCTCACCTGCCGAAACTGCAACTGTCTGTCTGTCTATCCTATTCCATACCTGTTGTCCCTTTATGCTAGGAGCCATCCATGCGTAAAGTGCAAGAAGGGGATCCTGTGGTGTTTCCAAACATCACATTTTTTGATCCTATCTTAGCCTGGATTAAATGTTCATGATAACTTGAGTGTCCTGATAGATTGAGTGTCCTGATAGATTGAGTGTCCTGATATGACCACGTCACCCTTCAAAGATTCTTTAGTTCCTCGTAATCCATAGACTCCACAAAGTTGCTACGGGATATACTTCTGAATCCACTTCTGAAATGTTGAAGCTAATAGCCGTAGGTAAGTTAATCCAGGTATACTTAGCATAGGAACATTATAAAAACAAATGTTGAGGATCTTCCACTACCACTCCACAGTAGTTACAATCACGTCCCCTTGCAGACATATTTGTGAATCCCATTTTGTGCTAATTTCCAAAGGAATGTACACCATTTTGGTGGAATTTCCAAGTGCCAGATCAACTTATAGAAGTCAAACATATCCTTCCTATGAGGGGTTCCACAGCGGCAGCAGCATCAGCAGAGAAATGCATATCCTGATTGACAGTAATATAGAAAAACCTTTTCCTCATCCCGTCTTAATTCCAAGCTAAGATTAGCCTGAGCACTTTCCCATTCGAATTTCTATCTAATATTTAAAACATTCCAGGATCGTGAATGTTGGTTGATAAATTAAATCTTATACTTTCCATTTTCTACAGTAACCCAGATTTTGGTCTGATTCAACCACCGGAACCTAGAAATGAACCCATTTGGAGCTACAGGCTAGAACATCTTTCCAAAAACCATTCATCCAAGCAATACTACTACTACTACTATGTGTGCCATGAAGCTGTGAAGAAAAAAAAAAAAAAAGAAAAAAAAAACAAATATTAGTAATGAATTAGAAAATAAAAAATACAACTTAACGTACACGAGTCATAGAACTTGTAACAAGAAACAAACAAAGATATTCCATTATTATTTGCACTTTACTAGACACGATAAATATTACAAGTATTTACAAACAGGAAGGCCATGATGATTATGATTATAATTATGATCAGGTTGATTATCTGAAGAGGAAAAGCTTTCAAAGTATTTGCCTTTGCCGCGGTTGCTGCTAATTCCCAGTAATTATTCTGAGATACCCTAGTTTGTTATTGGAATGAGCACGGGAATGAGAATATGTAGTTGTTTCTACTATGATATTTCTCCTTCAACTGCCTTTGATAGCTCCATGATCAGATTGTACATTGGTGTACATTTTGGGGATGTAAAATAAGTAGTTTTCTGAGTTTGAATCCAATTGACCAACATGCACCTTAATTTCTTACTACTTGCTTGTTTTTACTAGAATTGGTTGAGAAAAAGGTTAGTGAGATGGGAACAGGGATGGGGGTGGTGATCAAGTGGTAAGAAAGAGGGGAGCTGTGAAAATTGCAGAAGCTAAATGGAAGAAAAGAATGTTGATACAGAAGGAAAAAGAAATTTTGAAGAGCTATAAAGAAAAGAAGAGGGCGTTGGAGTGACACAACTGACAGAAGGTTGTAAGGGAAAAGTGAAGTCAACTAATTAAATGGAGAACGCATGTACAAAAGAAAATGATTACTTTATCATATACTTCGCATAACCCCAAACTACAAAGTAACAGACAACAGACCAGCAAAATATATCTAACCTACTAGAAATGTGATGTAGGATTTGTAGACAGAATATCTTAGGAAAGAAACGAAGGAAACTGGGAATTGGGACAGGAATGCAGAATATAGGAGGGAAGCTTGGGAGTGTATAGATTGATAGTAAACCTTCTTTCGAGAGGAAGGCACTCTCCCCAAGCCTAAGCTTTCAATACAATTTTCGACTAAGTTGTATCCCAGCCCCCCTATTTATACAGGAGTTCCTTCTACCACCTTCCAGCTTACATTCATTCCCCCCTCCATAACAAACTTTATTCCCTAACAGAAGAACTAGCAAAGCTTAAAATAAAATAACAGAATCAGCAAATAACTCATAAACGGTTATTTAAATTCAGTGCATGGGACAGCTCATGTGACAGCTCAGCAAATCTTGCAACAACCTCAACCTTGCTTCTTGCGTCTAGAATAGGTAGCCACAATAGGAGGCCTAGGCCCATTCCTTGCAATACCCGCCGTAACCAGTTTCACCTTGTCCTCAAGGTGGAAGTCTGAACCTGCTGGTCAGGTCTGAAAGCTGCTCCTAGGTAGCTTCAAACTCAGGTAAATTCTTCCATTTGACCAAGACTTCCGAATCAGGTTGCTGCTCAGTGCCTATGTGCCTATATGCCTGATCCCCAGAATGGAGTCAGGTTCTACCTCCAATACCATATCAGCAGTGAGTTGAGGTGGGAGAGGAGTAGGAACAAAGGACTGCCCCTGCGCTTTCTTAAGCTGGGAGATATAAAAGACCGGATGAATACGGGTTCCATCTGGCAGATTGAGCTTATAGGCTACCTGTCCAAAGCGCTGAATCACCTCATAAGGGCCATAATATTGTGGAGCCAGTTTCATGTTCCCTTTGTTTCTTACTGAGCTCTGCCTATAGGGCTGCAGTTTAAGATACACCCAGTCACCAACTTCAAACTGCCCATCTCTCCTCTTGTTCTCATAGGCCTGCATATAGTTCTGTGCGCGTAAAAGATGAAATTTCAGATCATCCAGTGTTGCATCCCTTTCAACAAGCTGCTCCTCCACAGTAGGATTTGAGGTTGTACCCATTTGGTACCTGACCAAATGCGGGAGGCCTCTCCCATAGAGAACCTTGAATGGGGTGTGGAGAGTAGCGGTATGGAAAGAAGTATTGTACCAGTACTCAGCCCATGGTACCCATTTGGACCATGATTTCGGCTTCTCATTCACAAAACACCTCAAATATGCTTCCAGACCTTTGTTAAGCACCTCGGTCTGGCCATCGAACGGTGGGTGATATGCAGTGCTTCTGGCCAGTTGGGTGCCTTGGAGTTTGAAGAGTTCGTTCCAAAAATTGCTTATAAAGACTTTATCTCGATCAGAGACAATAGATTTAGGGATACCATGTAGGCGAACCACCTCTCTCATAAAGGCTTGCGCTACCCCGGGAGCTGTAAAAGGGTGTCTTAGCAATACAAAGTGGGCATACTTAGAGAGCCTGTCCACCACAACCAGCACAGTATCCCACCCGTGAGAAACCGGTAGCCCCTCCATAAAGTCCATAGAAATATCCTCCCAAACTTTATCAGGGATTGGAAGGGGCTGCAACAGTCCCAAGGGGCTGACTGTTGCTGCCTTGTGCTGCTGACAGATTGTGCAGCCTCGAACATATTCCAGAATATCCTTTCTCATGCCCACCCAATACCACTCAGCAGCAAGTCATTGGTAAGTTTTGAATTCCCCGGCATGGCCTCCCACTGGAGAGTCATGATATTCTTTTAAGAGGGCAGAGGGGAGGGCTGATTTCTTTGGTATGACAATGCGCCCCTTGTACAGCAAGATGTTGTTTTCCAGTGTAAACCATTTAAGGGGTTGTTTCCCTTGTTTGAGTTCTTCTCAAGATAAAGGGATCTTGTTGAATGATTTGCCGGATTTGTTCCCACTGAAAACCACAGACCGATACTAAGGACGAGCACTCAATGTCAGGAGGAAATTCGCGGGATAGAGCATCTGCTACTTTGTTACTGGAGCCTGGTTTATACTGAATCTTAAAGGAGTATCCCAGCAATTTTCCCACCCATTTCTGATAAGCCTGCCCTACCTCGCGTTGCTCAAGGAAGAACTTCAGACTTTTTTGATCGGTGCGGACAATAAACGTTCTGCCCAACAGATAATGCCGCCATTTTTCAACTTCCCATACAATGGCCATGAGTTCCTTCTCATAAATTGGTTTCCCAGCTGCCCTGGTACCCAACATTCGGCTGAAAAAAGCAACCGGGTGTTCCTTCTGAGTTAACACTGCTCCCACCCCATGACCACAAGCGTCAGTCTCTACAATAAAGGTCTCACTGAAATTGGGAATGGCCAAAACCGGAGCCTGAGTCATGGCCGTTTTCAGACTTTGGAAAGCTGCTGTTGCCTCTCATGACCACCCAAACTGGTCTTTCTTCAATTGAGTTGTGAGAAGTTGGGCAATGTGGGCGTAATTCCGGATGAATTTCCGGTAATACCCTGTGAGACCCAAAAACCCTCTAAGCTCTCTCAAATTTCGAGGTTGAGGCCATAACAGCATTGCCTGGATTTTCTCTTGATCCACTTCAACCCCTATGCCTGAGATGACATGGCCAAGATAAGCTATGCGTTTTTGCCCAAAGTCACATTTCTTGTGATTGGCATATAGCTGGTTCTTCCATAAGACTCCCAGTACTACTGAAAGGTGATGTTGGTGATCTTCCACCGTCTTACTATATACCAACACGTCATCAAAAAAGACCAACACGAACTTCCGGAGATAAGGTCTGAATACCTCATTCATGAGCGACTGAAAGGTGGCGGGAGCGTTGGTGAGGCCAAATGGCATCACAAAAATTCATAGTGCCCATCATGAGTGCGGAAGGCGGTTTTGGGTACATCCTCCCTTCGAACCCTAATCTGATGATACCCCGATTTAAGGTCCAGCTTAGAGAAAATCTGGGCTCCTTGTAATTCATCCAGTAGTTCATCTATTACCGGAATAGGGAATTTGTCCGGAATAGTACTCTTGTTGAGGGCCCGATAGTCGACGCAGAACCTCCACAATCCGTCTTTCTTCTTAACCAGAAGCACCGGGCTAGAATACGAACTGGTAGAGGGTTGGATTATTCCCGCCTTGATCATATCATAGACTAGCCGCTCTATTTCGGTCTTCTGACTTTGGGGGTAACGGAAAGGGCGTACACTTATGGGATCAGTCCCCTCCTTCAATGTAATCGAGTGCTCAATGCTCCTTTGAGGAGGTAGCCCCTCAGGCATGTTGAATACCTCCTGGAACTCGGCTAATACATTCTGGAGTCCTGGTGCAATGACTGGAGTTGCCATATTTTCAGCCTTTTCTGAGGATAAAACGTTGAACTCAACCAAAAATCCGGTTCCCTCCTTTCGAAGTGTCCGGATCATAGCCTTAAGAGAAATGTAGGAACGGTCCAGAAGGCATCTCCCTTAAGAATGACCTCCTGATTTCCCAGATTGAACTTCATAATTTGGGTTTTCCAATTTGTGGAAATTGTACCCAGTTTCTCCGGCCACTGAATCCCTAGTATCACATCTGAACTTCCCTAGGGTAGCACGAGGAAGTCCTCAACCACCTTGAGCCCGGATAAATATAACTCCACCCCTTTGCATTCGCCTCTCCCATAGACTGCTTCACCATTCCCCAGCGTGACACTGAAACTTGCACCTTCTAACCCAATAAATTGTGTCGCCTGGTCCGAGAGAAAGTTGTGGGTCGCCCCCGGGTCAACCATGACCACCACCTTCTTGCCTTTGATGGAGCCGGCCAACCGCATAGTTTTAGGGTTAGACAGCCCCATTACGGAATTTAGGGATACCGTGGCTAGTGCAGCTGCTGGCGTCGCCACAAGTTCCGACACCGCATCATCGGACAGTGGCTCATCTTCTATGGCATCTTCCTCCTCATCCATCGCCATTAACACACTCAGTTCCCGCTTCTTACAACGATGAGTTGTAGTCCATTTCTTGTCACAGCAGAAGCAGAGTCCCTGCTCTCTCTTTTGTTGGATCTCAATCTCACTTAATCTCCTTATTCCACCTGGGTTACAGTTTGTGTTTGGGGTTATTGTGTTTGAGGTGGTAATAGGGTAGGTGTTTGTGTGGGATAAGTATTGCCTGGGAGTAGAAGAGTGGGCCGATTTGGGGGTATTTTTTGGGTAGATATTATTTCTTGGGTTTTTTGAATCTGGCCCATTAATAATGAGCCCATACCTTAGTTTCTCCTCAACTGAAATAGCAAGCTCAATTGCATCGTCCAGATCGCAAGGTCTCAATATTCTGACCTCCGAGCGCACATCTCCATTCAGACCGGTCATATAATTGCTCAGAGCCACTGCTTCGGCCATCGTTTCCAACGGCGCCATGAGTTAGACAAACTTCCGTTTGTACTCCGCCACCGTCATCGAGCCTTGTTGGAGGGCCATCCACTGTTCATACAATCCGTCCTCTTCATGTGGCCGAAATTTCTGCAGAATCAGGGACTTCAGTTCAGCCCATCTGCGGATGTGCCGCCGCCGGTGTTCGTATTGAAACCAGAGGAGGGCTTCCCCGTCGAGGGCCACCACCGCCGCCTCAATGCTGTCTCCCTCGCTGAGACGGTAGAAGTGGAAGTAACGTTCGGCACGTAGGATCCAGCTCTCCGGGTTGAACCCATCGAACGTCAGCAGGTCGAGTTTCTTTGACCGCCATCCAGTAGTGTTACCACCAGTAGCATCTGGATTATTTTCCACCGTCTGATTCAAGGAAGGACCCAGACCATCGAACATGCCGTAGGACTCCTCAAAGAGATTGTTCGGCGCGTGGGGTCGGTTAACCCGGCCAGTCTCATTCCTCCGGGTGATGGCCAACAACTCAGTGAGTTGCTGGTTTATCAAGGTCACATCGTGACGCAGTGTAATTACAGCTTCAAGGACTGAGAGTTGAGAGAACCGATTTCAATCTCCATATCGCCCATTCGCTGCGCATTGGTTTTGGGAGCCATGGATTGAGCTTCACCGGTCGCTTGTACACAGAATATCTTAGGAAAGAAACGAAGGAAACTGGGAATTGGGACAGGAATGCAGAATATAGGAGGGAAGCTTGGGAGTGTATAGATTGATAGTAAACCTTCTTTCGAGAGGAAGGCACTCTCCCCAAGCCTAAGCTTTCAATACAATTTTCGACTAAGTTGTATCCCAGCCCCCCTATTTATACAGGAGTTCCTTCTACCACCTTCCAGCTTACATTCATTCCCCCCTCCATAACAAACTTTATTCCCTAACAGAAGAACTAGCAAAGCTTAAAATAAAATAACAGAATCAGCAAACAACTCATAAACGGTTATTTAAATTCAGTGCATGGGACAGCTCATGTGACAGCTCAGCAAATCTTGCAACAACCTCAACCTCGCTTCTTGCGTCTAGAATAGGTAGCCACAATAGGAGGCCTAGGCCCATTCCTTGCAGACTGCAGGTGCAGGGAGGAAGAAAGGCGTGTATTACTAAAAGGCACAGGCTCTCAGTCACAGCAGTAACTGCAGCATCTCAAACAAAGAAACACTGGAAATCTACCAACCTACTAGGATATTGAGCTCAACACCTAAAATGGACAAGAAAATTTTAGGTTTCACCTTGGTTAGGGCATATAAAGAGTATTTAACAAGGAGAGGGTAGGGATTAAACTATAGAGCCACTCAGCCACTACTACTAGATAAGATGCTCAATCTATAATATTATTAAAACTCAAAGGGACAACATGGTACCGCCTATGTGTCCTTGTTCCTTTCATATGATTTGGCCCCATATGAGTGCTATGTGTCACCTTATATGTCATCACTCATCACCCTAAAACTATTTATATGTGTAACCTTCATATTTAATTTTCCCATAAAATGTTGGTCTTTAGTAATTGCACAATAATCTAAAATTTAATTTGTCAGATATTAATCGATCACACACTAACGGTTATTTACATAAGTTTTTATAGTACAGTAATATTTACATAAGTTTTTATAAAATTTTCTAGATCAATACCAATCAAGCAATTATATAGTACAGAAATATTTACATAAGTTTTTATTTTACTATGTAAAGTAAAATGAATAAAAACTAGCATCCATAAATCTTTAATTTATTATTATATTTTTATTCACTTATAAATATAGTTGTATACACCTTCTAAATTTAATTTTGATCAGACTTACAAATTTATAGTGATACAGGGCATCGCTCGGGCCAATAACTAGTTTATAATTACTTCATAACCACTAGTATCTAATGTAGCAGTTTTAACATTAATTTAGCTTATCACATATTGAGCCTACATGGACAATACAACAACAATTGTTTTCATTGTTCAAAAGTCATGTATGCTGCACAATCTCTTCCTTCAAAACCTTAATGCAGAAATTCATTTTATTTTGCATCTTTAAGAAATAAAAAAGTTTTAATAAAATACAAAAGTATGAACATTGAAAAGACCATAAGAAGTTACACCCTTCTGCATTAAGCAGGACTCAAAACCAGCTTGTCATGTTTGTTGAGAGTTTTTGAGATGACAACTAAACAGATTTTTAACATAAGATAGGTTTAACAGCAAAGAGAAAAGCAAATTTGGCCAACGGTTTTCCAACAATCAACTAACTCTCTAACTCTGGCTACTATGGCCACAATTTTGAGGCTGAAATAACATACTTTATAATTATATCTGTTAGAAAAAGCAAAATTTACTAGAAAACAGCTTGACTTATGCAAATTTAATCAGCCAATGGATTTTGCAGACATGAAGTCATTTAAAGTAAAATTATTTCTGTTAAAAGTTTCTCAATATCTTATCTGCACAAAAAAATTTCTACAAAAGTATTATACTCTATCAATCTGTTATAATAATATCCATGAAGTTTGCCTGGAGTATAACAACGATTGAAGTAATAGAAATACATCCATGAAAAGACAAATGGGCCAGAAACATAAAAAGAAATTAGGCAGGTGCATACAAAATGTTGCAAGCTCACCTTTTTCAACATCAATTGCATCCTAATGTTTCTGCAGCTCATCCAACATTCCAACATATCCTTAATGTCAAGCACAAGACCAGGGTTGTGTAACAGCTTGCATACAATTCCAAATCCCTCATCTGTTCTTTCTTTTAAAATTCTTTGGACCAACTAGATTTGTCAAGGAAAGATTCATCTCATCCAGAAGAGAAGCTGCAGCACTCAACATCCCCATTTTTTTTAAGTTACAAATCAATGACCTGTATGTGTAGATTGAGGGCCGGACTTGCCTACTCTTCATAGCACTAAAAAGTCGCAATGCTTCCTCAATGTTACCTGATCGACCAAAGCTCTCAATCAATGCAGTATAAGTTCTCAAATCTGGGATGAGACCATTCTCATCCACTTCTCTCATATATAATAAACAGAGATCTAACCTTCCCATTTTCTGTAGATGGTTTAACAGAGTATTATATGTGACTATATCTGGAATTATCTTAGCCTTCTTCATAGAAGCAAACTCCCGCAGCATGTCGTCCACCAGGCCAGCTCGACCTAACAACCCAATAACTGTATTGTAAGTGACCAAGTCCGGCTTGCATTCTAGAACCTTCATATGATCATAAATTTTTAAGGCTTTTTCAATCTGCCTACACTCTGCAAAGGCAAAGATCATTCTGTTTAAAACCAGGGCACCACAATGAGATGTCAGCTGAGATATTTCTCTGACAAAATTGAGTAGCTTAGAGTGATCATCTGTGATTGCAAATGCCTTGGCAAGATTGAAATAAGATTTTGAACTCATTCCTTTGGAGGAAACCAATAATTCCTTAAATATTACAAGCGAAAGTTCAACATCCTGCCATTCGCTAGTAGCAGCCAAAAGAATATTATAGGCATCAGGCGCAAGAAATATATGTTTTTCGTGTGAAAATTGCAACAGTTTAGTAATTGCTGAAACATTACCAGATCTACATAGCCTTTCAATGCCATTACATATTTTCCTATTGCAGATATCAGTATTTTCTAAAGTGCAAAGAATATGATTCAGAAGATCATTTGTCAAACCTAGTTCATCAGGAGAGCTGTTAGTTGCAAACGGCCTAAATGGAGCTCTGGAACTGCCAAGGATAGGGAAGAACGGCCACATTCGAGTACCAACTGATGCAATATTTCTCTGAAAAAGGAACATGTTCAATCATCAAATAATTTTCAACTAAATCTAATATATCTGTTAGAAGATGCATACATTGCAATGAACAGATCAAGAACTAGGTGCCTTAACTCAGCTTCAATAGACTAACATAACTCTTATATAGCTTAAGTTATTCAAACCTAAGGCTCGTATCTCTGATACATTTGTGAAAAAATTCAACACATAATACTGCTTTGATACATTCTTATCAGAAATTAAAAAAATACAGTAGTATTTCCTCCGTATTAGGCCATAGTTTCATTTTGGTACGTCCCCATTAGGTCACTCCCAATATCTTGCAAGTTAAAACAATGAATTTTCGCATATCACTCTTACTATCTCTAGGATTTGAATAATTTGATACATAACATCACAATGAAATGCTTGTTAGCGAATAATGTTAAAAATACCAACGGTAACTAGCTAACTACGGTATTTCAAGCCAATATCTTAATTATGACCTTTGACCAAATGTGGCCTATTAAAGTAAGATAGTGGAATACTTGCAAAGCCGATGGAGTTTTGTACCACCAATGCGTTAGTTCTGATTACAAGTGCATGACATTAAAATGAAGAAGTCCGCCAGACAGTGTATGTTACTCCAAATTTCACATAAAACAATAATAATATACACGACAATCACAAATGCCATTTAGAAATTATATTCAAATTTGATCCACTAAATCTAATTCCGAACTTCATATGAATCAACAGCAAGAAATAATCAGAAAATTTGGCAATAAAATTAAATATATAAAAATTGAAAACATGTTATTAATGGGATTTTCCCACTTACCCCAGATAATTTACCACCAAATCCAATAGTTTTGTGGAGGTGTGATCCACCAATTATAAGTGACGATTTTCCGTCGACATTTGAGTTTGCAATTGAAGAAAACAAGAGAAAGGAAATTGTTCCAGTAATCTGGCTTTTTCTAAATGTTCTTGAAATAAGCAACATGCTAGAAATTTGAAAAACCAATCAGAAATTCAAAAAAGGGGTTTAGGGTTTAAGATTGAACAGGCATTCAGTGTTTAATGTTTGTTTGCTAAGAGACTTGAAGGCTTGAATTAATACCGCTAGAGAGTATTTGAACTTTTAATAGAAGTTGCAGTTAAAGTATTGTTTAATTGCATTTTAATGTAATTTGTTAATTCATAAATATTTATGTAAAATAATATTATGTATCAACAAAAAAAATGTGATGATTAAATTTGTAGGATACCCCTGTTTATTTTTCTTGGTTATTATTAGATTTTTTTTTTTTAATTTCCGTAATTAGGAGGTCGTTTCGCTTAATTGCATATTGCTTTATTAGAGGGGTTTAGGGTTTTTCATTATTCGTGAAAACTTAAAGTATATTGGGTCTTGCTCATACTCTAAAGTCCAAACCAACCTGCAATTTTCGCACGACTGTTGATTTTCTTTGGTAAGTAAAGTAATCAGCAAATGTGAAATCCAAGCTTTGAAATTCTTGAATCTCCCACACAAATACTATGTATAATTTTAGAAATCGATTTTTAGGTCTTTTAACTTTCATATTTTGAATTTATGATTGTCGATATCAATTTCAAGTTTCGTTGAAAAGTGGAAAATTAGAAGAATTAATGTTGCATTTTCAATTTATTTGCACGCTAATTGCTAATTTCCGTTGAATTTTATCGTCAAGAAGGTTAATTTGTTGTTGATTCGAGCGTTTTTTTTTTTTCCCAGATTGAGTTGATTATTTGAGACGAGCTAATGGAAGTTGATTCAAAGATGCATGATTCAGCTTCTGAAGATGCCTCGGCAACGGCGTCTTCTTCAACTGAAAAGGTATAAATTTAGCTGTGTTGTATGTGAAAAACTATAGCTTATGATCATAGCCGTTTCAGATATTTTGGTGGCCCAGGGCAAAATAATAATATTTTTGTTGAATAAATCATTTGTTTTTATAATTATAAATATTTAAGTAATTTGTTATCATAAATAATTTTATGTAATTTGTTAATTCATAAATATTTATGTAAAATAATGTTATGTATCAACAAAAATGTATATTAAAGTGTTTCAATTACTTTAGGATGATTAAATTTGTAGGGTACCCCTCTGTTCATTTTTATTGGTTATTATTAGATTTTTTTTTTTAATTTTCGTAATTAGGAGGCCGTTTCGCTTAATTGCATATTGCTTTATTAGAGGGGTTTAGGGTTTTTCATTATTCGTGAAAACTTAAAGTATATTGGGTCTTGCTCATACTCTAAAGTCCAAACTAACCTGCAATTTTCGCACGACTGTTGATTTTCTTTGGTAAGTAAAGTAATCAGCAAATGTGAAATCCAATCTTTGAAATTCTTGAATCTCCCACACAAATACTATGTATAATTTTAGAAATCGATTTCTAGGTCTTTTAACTTTCATATTTTGAATTTATGATTGTCGATATGAATTTCAAGTTTCGTTGAAAACTGGAAAATTAGAAGAATTAATGTTGCATTTTCAATTTATTTGCACGCTAATTGCTAATTTCCGTTGAATTTTATCGTCAAGAAGGTTAATTTGTTGTTGATTCGAGCGTTTTTTTTTTTTTCCCAGATTGAGTTGATTATTTGAGACGAGCTAATGGAAGTTGATTCAAAGATGCATGATTCAGCTTCTGAAGATGCCTCGGCAACGTCTTCTTCAACTGAAAAGGTATAAATTTAGCTGTGTTGTATGTGAAAAACTTTAGCTTATGATCATAGTCGTTTCAGATATTTTGGTGGCCCAGGGAAAAATAATAATATTTTTGCTGAATAAATCATTTGTTTTTATAATTATAAATATTTATGTAATTTGTTAATTCATAAATAATTTTATGTAATTTGTTAATTCATAAATATTTATGTAAAATAATGTTATGTTTCAATAAAAATGTATATTAAAGTGTTTCAATTACTTTAGGATGATTAAATTTGTAGGGTACCTGACAAGGGTTAAATCGGTCGCTACAATCTAACTCTCAATCAAACAATACTTATACGAACACCCTATAACCAAGTACAATGGCAAATAAAGGTTCGGTCCACGAGGAACAAGAGTAATTGCAAATCAATCTTAAACCTAAACTAGTTCGAAATCAATGGAAAAATGGTGTTCTAAAATACTACTAATAAGATGGAATAAATCAATAAACTAAGACACTAGGGAGAACGGGAATTCACCAAACCATCGGTAACTACGCAACAAGGAATCACAGAGACAAACGGGATATGCAAAGACTATATGTCTGATCAATATCATGTGATAGGAAGACAACGGGCAATACTAAGCTTGGATTTCTCATGCACTTAACATTACTCGATACATAATCAAACCACATTCAATAATGAAATACTCAATTCACAATCTCTTGTTCAAATCAAGGATATCATGCAATCAAATTCAAGATTCTAGGTTAGCTACTCCTATTATAATGAATTAACATGCAATCGCATATAATCAATTTAATCACAATCCGTTTATCAAAATCAATCCTCAATTACATAGATTACCTAGGCCGGGTTTCATCCCGAAACCCTAGCTAGGAGACTACTCACACATATTCATAGTCAAAGCAATAATGAATTCCAAAAGCATAATAGATATAAACATGAATTCTGATTAAGGAATAATAAAGCTTGATTAATAAACAAGAATGAATAATACCAATTGTATTGATGCGAATCAATGGAAAAGTTCAGAACTTTGATATCCGTCGTCAATGAATAATACAAAGAATCTTCGCAAATCTTGCTTCAAATCAATCCAAGAAAACTAAAATCTCTAGAAATATCTCTAAGAAAACTAATGAATCTCTAATACTAAGAACGTTCTCCAATAACTCTCTACAAAGGCTCTCAAAACTATCTCTAAAACTGTCTTCGGAAACCTCTTAAAGTTGGGCCTTATATACGTCTTCTAATGCGGAGAAGTCAAGCGCGCATTTAACCCTAGATCAGCACGGCCGTGCTGTATTTGGCACGGCCGTGCTAGCTTGTCAGTAAGTAAACCGGATTTCTTCTTCAAATTGGCACGGCCGTGCTATATATGGCATGGCCGTGCAGCTTCCTGACACGGCCGTGCTAAAAATGACACAGCCGTGCTGAATATGCTCTAGCACGGGGCTCATACTGAAGCTGACACGGGCACGGGCAACATCTGGCACGGCCGTGCTAATGGCCTGCACGGCCGTGCGGGTGCGTGGATACTGACACGCCGTGCTATTGGCTTGCACGGCCGTGCTGCCTTGCCTGGGGTTGCTTGCTTATAGGCCAGCACGGGTGTGCCTATGGTAACACGGTCGTGCTGCCTGTGCTATGTAATCAATGCACGGCACTTGAACTTCCTTAACTCCTCGGACTCCGGTCAAGGCTAGCTCGGTTACGCATCAAGGGCTCGGGATCCGATTAAACTCGGTTGATATTACCTGAAAACACATCAAAAACATACCGAAAACCCGTGAAGCACGTAATATGGGGAACGTAAGCATAACAAGGTAATAATCGGCCAAAGCGGCCCCAAATACATCCAAAATCATCCTAAAATATGCTCTAAAGCGCGCCCTAAAGTGCGCTTGTCAAAACCCCCCAAGCTACACTTTTGCTAGTCCTCGAGCAAAAACCAAGGGATACACACACAAGATCAAATAAACTATGCCATTGCGAACAAATCAAATTAAGCACGGAATGAAATCAATGGATCCTACTTAGAACAACCATGCACGGAAGGAAAACTCACTCAAACAAGCAACGAGACACACAATCCAAGATATCGTTGATCAAATGCGAACAAGACCTAAACCAAGCATAGAGAACAAAGAAATCATGCTTCCCTCTAAACCCGACCAAACCGGCCACGTCCTCCCCTTTTGCTTCAAATCACCACCCTAATTGGCCCCTCGTGATTCCTCGAAGGAACCGGAAGAAGTGATGTTTTGAGGAAATAACAAAGGTATCCCGACATCTCGATTACGCATAATCTTTCCATAGGGTTGAAAGGTATCTCCCTCCACCGTTTGAGAACCGAACACCTCTAAAGTCTAAGGGTCTTAAAAGGGTTGTAATGTATTGGCAATGGGTAAGGTGGGTGAAAACAATTTTAAAAAGTGGGGTTAATTCCTAAATGAAGCGCAAGAATCACAATTCTCAAAAACAATAGTTTAAAAGATGTAATTCACTTTCCACAATCTCATTGATTCACATTCTTACACATCCCAAATTATCCATATAATACACACTCAAATGACCTCTTTCAAACTTCAAAACTTTATTTATGTGTCCTCGCCTTTTTCACAATTCGGACGGCTTTTCTCCTTTTTTTTTTTTTTTATTTTCTTTTTTTTTTTCTTCTTTTTTTCAAAAACAAATTTTCATATTACATCTTTACAATTAAGCTCACTTTCGAACTTGCTCAAACCAACTATCGATCATTATTTTTGATTTATACACAATAAGCTCAAACAAACCTTGCGAGGTAAATGCTTCACAACTAAGGGTTGGTAAAACATTGGCCATCGGGTTTGTAACATGGGTAACCAAGAATGGAATTAAAGCCTCAACATGGTTAGCAAGTAAGATGATGTAAAAAGAAAATTAATTTGTAACAAAACAAAAGGAACAAGAATAAGAAAAATGAAAAAGGTGCCCTCTTCCTCCCTTAAAAGTGTCAAGTCGGTCTTGGGAGCTACAAGTCAACACAAAGATCGAAACATGCGTAATCAAGGATCCAAATATGTCACTCAAGAAGAATGATGAAGGCTAGAACAATAAAACCTCACGGGATTCAAAAACAAAGCAACTACCAATTAAGGGGATCAAATCCACAAATGGGAAGCGACTCCATCTTACCATAGCCCAAAGGCATAGAGTTTCACATGACAAAAGTGTTCTAACCAACTACCTTCGCCTAGACTCGTCTACATTGATCAACAATAGACTCAAACTGTGTATTCATCACTGGCTTAAGTAGAAATAGATATTCCACACACATTCATTCACGTTTCGAATCCAAATATGAGCATTATTCCAAAAGTTTATGCAATTAGACAAGTTTATCACGATCCAAAAATATAGGAAAAGACTATGAGGCAAATCATATAAACTAGACTACACATT